ATCTAACCGTGTACAAATACGGTTTGTTATTTTGACAATTAAGAGAGAACATCTCAAAGCGATAATTACGCTTATTAAGTTTATTATTACCAATGACCAAGACCTCACCTCGACGAATCCCACGTAGACGAGGAGATTCTTCTAGACAAGCTGCTTTCACTTTTCTTTCCAATATCAGCCTTGATAACAACGATCGTAGAACACAACAACCACAACTACCATTTCAAAAAATCTCATCAAAAACAAAATCAAAATCAATTAATAAAAAAACAATCAGAAAAACAAGGGGAGTTAAATTCATCAAGCAATATACCAATCAACGACAAACATGACAAAGCTTCATCTTTTCCAGTTGCTATTATTAATAAAGAAAATAATAATACCAATAATACCAATAATACCAATTACGACAGCAATGGCACCATCAACAAGGATAATAAAAAACCAGACTTGCATATTGACACCAAAAAAGCGTTTAGCACTATTGAAAAAGTTTCTAATAATGAAGCAACAACAAGAAGCCATGTTACTTCCAAAACTAGAATATCACCCAATAAAAAAATATTTAATAACGATAAAACTTCCCCCATAGTTTTAAAGGAGGGTCATCTTGACAATTTAAATTCTTCTAGTGATGTCCGTTTAAGAAGTAATAGCCTTCGTGAAGAAGCAGCTATAAATTTCTTGACGAACATTAATCTTGACTCTAACAGGAATCAACATCCTTCAAGAGAAAGTTTAACTAGCTCAACAACAATTTCAGTGTTTGAGGCTAGTGATGATAACTTACTCAATGAAGTAGATGAAAATGTGGGCAACCAAGAAAATTTAGAAGGTTCATCATCATCGCCATCATCTGCTTATGTTAGAAGACGTAGAAGTTCAAGTTTGTATCATTGTAGTAGAATTTTGCAAAATATTTAACATAAGGATTAATAAATTGCTCACTATATTTTATTATATTAATTACTGTAGCATCAACATTAAATTCCGATACGAGTTCTTCTTCTTCAATTTCTTGTACATTGTCTAACTCTCCAAATCATCCAACGGCAACAACATCGTTATCAATTACCCGCAATAAATTGGAACAACATCGCCCAAATAAACAAGCAGATAATG